GGCGATTACATAAGTATGCCTGTCATTAAGACGGGACGTTTATAGTCGATAGACAAGGTCCTAGTAAGGAAGCCCATTAATGACATGGCGATTACATAAGGATGTCTGTCATTAAGATGGGACGTTTATAGTAGGTAGACACGGTCCCTGTAAGGAAACTCGTTAATGACATGGGGATTACATAAGTATGCCTGTCATTAAGACGGGACGTTTATAGTCGGTAGACAAGGTCCTAGTAAGGAAGCCCATTAATGACATGGCGATTACATAAGTATGTCTGTCATTAAGATGGGACGTTTATAGTAGGTAGACACGGTCCCTGTAAGGAAACTCGTTAATGACATGGTGATTACATAAGTATGCCTGTCATTAAAACGGGACGTTTATAGAAGGTAGACAAGGTCCTAGTAAGGAAACAGCCTGTAAATGACATGGCGATTACATAAGTTTGCCTGTTATTGAGACGGAACGTTTATAGTACGTAGACAATGTACCTGTAAGGAGGCCTGTTAATGACATGGCGATTACATAAGTATGCTTGTCATTAAGATTGAACGTTTATAGTAGGTAGACAAGGTCCCTGTAAGGAGGCCCGTTAATGACATTGCGATTACATAAGTATGCTTGTCATTAAGATTTAACGTTTATAGAAGGTAGACAAGGTCCCTGTAAGGAAGCCCGTTAATGACATGGCGATTACATAAGTATGGCTGTCATTAAGACGGGACGTTTATAATAGGTAGACAAGGTCCATGTAAGGAGGCCCGTTAATGACATGGCGATTGCATAAGTATGCCTGTCATTAAGACGGGACGTTTATAGTAGGTAGACAAGGTCCTTGTAAGGAAACCCGTTAATGACATGGCGATTACATAAGTATGCCTGTCATTAAGACGGGACGTTTATAGTAGGTAGACAAGGTCCATGTAAGGAGGCCCGTTAATGACATGGCGATTACATAAGTATGGCTGTCATTTAGACAGGACGTTTATAGTAGGTAGATAAGGTCCATGTAAGGAGGCCCGTTAATGAAATGGTGATTACATAAGTATGCCTGTCATTGAGACGGGACGTTTATAGAACGTAGACAATGTCCCTGTAAGGAGGCCCGTTAATTATGACATGGTGATTACATAAGTATGCCTGTCATTAAGACGGGGCGTTTTTAGTAGGTAGACAAGGTCCCTGTAAGGTGGCCCGTTAATGACATGGTGATCATCAGATAAATAAGCGAGGGAAATAACAATGGCACCAGTCTCTTCAATACTCTAATAAGATAAAACTGGAATGCGGTGGCCAAGTGGTTAAGGCGTATGACATTTTGCTTCCACTAGCCCTCCACCACTGGGTCGCTGGTTCGAGGTCTGACGTGGGGCAGTCGTCAGGGACTGGCCGTAGGTCGGTTGTTTTTCTCCGGGAACTCCGGCTTTCCTCCCACCACCAAAATCTCGCACGTCCTTTAATAACCATAGCGGTTAAAAGGACGTAAAATACAAACAAACTAAACCAAACCAAGAGGAACATTTTTTTTTACTACATAAGGGAGGCAACTCATAGATCATATCGTTACTAAAAAGTTTACAATATAACATTTAAAAATAAAGTGATTTGTTGAAAGAAATCGATATTAAGTACTTATGAGAGGGAAAACCTTTCTTCAAGAGGTCCAAAACGTGTATTCGTATTGAGAATATTTGTAGACGCTTTTTAATCAATCAGTATTTAGACTTTTAAGTTTATGAATATTACACCCTTATGTTAGAAATCCGTAAAATCTGACGACTTCGTTCTTGGAAGATTACAGTGTACCTACGATCACGGGTATGTGTTTTTGGTAGATTACAGTGTACCTACGATGACGGGTATGTAGTTTTGATAGATAACAGTGTACCTACGATCCCGGGTATGTAGTTTTGGGACATTACAGTGTACCTACACCCTTATGTTAGAAATCCGTAAAATCTGACAACTTCGTTCTTGGAAGATTCCAGTGTACCTACGATCACGGGGATGTAGTTTTGGTACATTACAGTGTACCTACGATCACGGGTATGTAGTTTTGGTAAAATACAGTGTACCTACGATCACGGGTATGTAGTTTTGGTAGATTACACTGTGCCTACGATCACGGGTATGGAGTTTTGGTAAAATACATTGTACCTACGATCACGGTTATGTAGTTTTGGTAGATCACAGTGTACCTACGATCAAGTGTACCTACGATCACGGGTATGTAGTTTTGGTAGATTACAGTGTACCTACGATCATGGGTATGTAGTTTTGGTACATCACAGTGTACCTACGATCACGGGTATGTAGTTTTGGTAGATTGAAGTGTACCTACGATCACGGGTATGTAGTTTTGGTAGATTACAGTGTTCCTACGATCACGGGTATGTAGTTTTGGTAGATTTCAGTGTACCTACGATCACGGGTATGTAGTTGTGGTTGATTACAGTGTACCTACGATCACGGGGATGGAGTTTTGGTAGATTTCAGTGTACCTACGATCACGGGTATGTAGTTTTGATAGATTACAGTGTACCTACGATCACGGGTATTTTGATAGATAACAGTGTACCTACGACCACGAGTATGTAGTTTTGGTAGATTACAGTGTACCTACGATCACCGGTATGTAGTTTTGGTAGATTACAGTGTACCTACGATCACGGGTACGTAGTTGTGGTTGATTACAGTGTACCTACGATCACGGGTATGTAGTTTCGGTAGATTACAGTGTACCTAGATCACGGGTATGTAGTTTTGGTAGATTATAGTGTACCTACGATCACGGGTATGTAGTTTTGGTAGATTACAGTGTATCTATGATCACGGGTATGTAGTTTTGGTAGATTACAGTGTAACTACGATCACGGGTATGTAGTTTTGGTAGATTACAGTGTACCTACGATCACGGGTATGTAGTTTTGGTAGATTAAAGTGTACCTACGATCACGGGTATGTCGTTTTGGTAGATTACAGTGTACCTACGATCACGGGTATGTAGTTTTGGTAGATTACAGTGTACCTACGATAACGGGTATGTAATTATGGTAGATTACAGTGTACCTACGATCACGGGTATGTAGTTTTGGTAGATTGCAGTGTATCTACGATCACGGGAATGTAGTTTTGGTAGATTACAGTGTACGTACGATCACTAAAATACAGTGTACCTACGATCACGGGTATGTAGTGTCGATAGATTACAGTGTACCTACGATCACGGATATGTAGTTTTGGTAAATTACAGTGTACCTACGATCACGGGTATTATGTAGTTATGGTAGATTACAGTGTACCTACGATCACTAAAATACAGTGTACCTACGATCACGGGTATGTAATTATGGTAGATTACAGTGTACCTACGATCACTGGTATGTAGTTTTGGTAGATTACAGTGTGCCTACGATCACGGGTATGTAGTTTCGATAGATTACAGTGTACCTACGATCACGGGCATGTAGTTTTGGTAGATTACAGTGTACGTACGATCACTAAAATACAGTGTACCTACGATCACGGGTATGTAATTATGGTAGATTACAGTGTACCTACGATCACTAAAATACAGTGTACCTACGATCACGGGTATGTAGTTTTGATAGATTACAGTGTACCTACGATCACGGGTATGTAGGTTTGGTAGATTGCAGTGTATCTACGATCACGGGTATGTAGTTTTGGTAGATTACAGTGTACCTTTTGGTAGATTAAAGTGTACCTACGATCACGGGAATGTAGTTTTGGTAGATTACAGTGTACGTACGATCACGGGGATGTAGTTTTGGTAGATTACAGTGTAGCTACGATCACGGGTATGTAGTTTTGGAAGATTATAGTGTACCTACGATCACGGGTATGTAGGTTTGGTAGATTGCAGTGTATCTAAGATCACGGGTATGTAGTTTTGGTAGACTACAGTGTACCTACGATCACGGATATGTAGTTTTGGTAAATTACAGTATACCTACGATCACGGGTATGTAGTTTCGATTGATTACAGTGTACCTACGATCACGGGAATGTAGTTTTGATAGATTACAGTGTACCTACGATCACGGGTATGTAATTATGTTAGATTACAGTGTACCTACGATCACGGGTATGTAGTTTTGGAAGATTACAGTGTACCTACGATCACGGGAATGTAGTTTTGGTATATTACAGTGTACCTACGATCATGGGTATGTAGTTATGGTAGATTACAGTGTATCTACGATCACGGGTACGTAGTTTTGGTAGATTACAGTGTACCTACGATCACGGGTATGTAGTTTCGATTGATTACAGTGTACCTACGATCACGGGTATGTAGTTTTGGTATATTACAGTGTACCTACGATCATGGGTATGTAGTTATGGTAGATTACAGTGTATCTACGATCACGGGTACGTAGTTTTGGTAGATTACAGTGTATCTACGATCACGGGTATGTAGTTTCGGTGGATTACAGTGTACCTAGATCACGGGTATGTAGTTTCGGTAGATTACAGTGTACCTATCATCACGGGTATGTAGGTTTGGTAGATCACAGTGTACCTACGATCACGGATATGTATTTTTTTTAAATTACAGTGTACCTACGATCTCGGGTATGTAGTTTTGGTAAATTACAGTGTACCTACGATCATGGGTATGGTAGATTACAGTGTACCTACGATCACGGGTATGTAGTTTTGGTAGATAACAGTGTACCTATCATCACGGGTATGTAGTTTTGGTAGATCACAGTGTACCTACGATCACGGGTATGTAGTTTCGGTAGATTACAGTGTACCTACGATCACGGGTATGTAGTTTTGATAGATAACAGTGTACCTACGATCACGGGTACGTAGTTGTGGTACATTACAGTGTACCTACGATCACTGGTATGTAGTTTTTGTAGATTACAGTGTACCTACGATCACGGGTATGTAGTTTTGGTAGATTACAGTGTACCTACGATCACGGGTATGTAGTCTTGATAGAAAACATGTGCAACAATGAATTGTTTTGACTCGTGTTTATTGGATTATTTGATGCACAACAAATTCCACAATTGTTATACGGACAAAGACATGACACAAACACAAATGATGAGAGGATGGTACATGGTCACCGGACTTAACTTCGATCAAATAAACCTTTTAGGTTATAACCATTCTGTTGAGAACATTTTAGAAATGAAAGCCTACGAATGATTTTAACTTCACAATATAATCTATTTATGCAAAGCATTTTTTGTTCATAAGTTTCGCATTAAAGAATCATTTGCCACACTGTACACCTTGAGCATGGTTTCACGACTTATGACAAAGGGTGTACATTAAGTCAGCTGTATGTCATTCTGAATCATTTAACAGTGTTTAAGGGAAGCATGGCAGATAATGCTACATTAAATAAATTCACAGATGGTCAAATTGATACAAAACCTGTTAAAACCATGTAAAATAATAATTTAATAATTTTAATAATTCTGATAATACTGGTAGCCGAGTCTCACTGTTAATGCTGATAGAAGGATACAGCTGTATTTCTGTATTAGTGACTATATATAGTATAGTAGTGTTGTGAGCAATAAGCTGCATGCATAGATCTTTATGTAACCTAACGCAATTTTACAATGTTTGCTTAGTTTGTTTTGAACAAAAACAGGACTGAAAAGGTTTTCTTCCGAGAATAACATCGAGACGTTTCGTCCGATAACACTCTAGATCTCATGAGGGAAGGTTATGCGTTTACCATTATTCTGACAGCTGACGTTACTGACGCGGCATTTTATGGCTAAGTGAGTTATATAGAGTAAAGACAGCGGTCATTTGCACACTTTGCTTGATAAAGGAAACAGAGCCTTTCCGACGCGTTCTGTTACTGTTTGTGTCAAGATAAGATTAAGATATATATATCATTCATGTCTAACTGATGACGGTTATTCTGCACACTTTTAAAATAGCAGACAAATGTGAAATCAATATATTAATATTTCCTACAAAATGTTTTTCATTTAGTCGTTAATTGTAATATTTTATTATTCTGTGTAGTATAGTAAACAGCAGCAATATTGTGTCAACAATAATTCATAGACAGACATGATCATACAGTGATACATACATAGCAAAGAGTCGCGTGTGTAAACCAACAATGGCGACAACATGGGACCTGATATATGTCAGTAACATATTTATCACAGAAGCATAAAAACAATACAGATTTATGTAGATTAAACAACATAGTGTTGTTTAAATATAACTATTACAAAATAATACGACACTCTTCGCCGCCTTTTTCGCACACCATTCGACGGAGTAGTCCTATGCGAGCTTTGGTTATCCTGCAGTTGATATGACGTCACTTATGTAGAAGATGTGCGTTGAGGAAAAAGCTCTGTCTTTTCGTCACCATGGAGAAACACGGAGTCTCTGTCATGGTCAAGGTGATGCAATTCTAGGTCTTTAGATTGGCGCTGCCCTTCTTTCGTCTTGTCTACAATATATAAATGTGAAATACGGTAATTAATGAGTTACCATACGAACATCATCCCGGAACTCTGAAGTTCTGAAAACGTTGTTTTAAACGATTCTTTGTAATACGTTTTGTAGTAACATTGCTGTCAGTTCACTTCATACCGATATTCTGATACTAATAAGACACATAACAAAACTTAACGCATCCATCATTAATGAAAATTCATAACGAGAAATGTTAGATGAATTAAAGACAATTCAAGCTTGAGCAACAAACATTATTTTGAAGTAGTCATATGTGTTTCTTAGAATAAGACTATATTTGAAATAATCCACGAACTCTTTTTGAAACATTTGTTATTGATTACAGATGTTTTACAATAAAACATTTTTTGTTTGTTAAATATAATTTAATTCTATGTCAAATTCACGCACAACACACGTTAATCAAGTTTAACACAGTTCCAACAACATGACAATGTTTAGTACAAGGTATTTTCAGTTCATCTGAGATTAATTAAACAAGATAGTATGCTATTGCAGCTTTAAACTTTGGACAAGACAATGTGATTTTGTTATTTTGATTGTTAGCGACTTTCTCCAATTATGACATCAATTTTCGAAAAAGAACAGCAGTCTGAGTTCACATGAGTATAGATTTAACGGATGAATTGGGTTCAGGAGAGTTCAGATTCACGGAGAACTCCGGGTACACAACAGAACAGTTGTTTGGGTATTCAGGGTTAACAACAGTACGGGTTCACTGAATATTCAGGGTAAACAACAGTACGGGTTCATTGGAAATTCAGGGTTAACAACAGAACGGGTTCATTGGAAATTCAGGGTTAACAACAGAACGGGTTCATTGGAAATTCAGGGTTAACAACAGTACGGGTTCATTGGAAATTCAGGGTTAACAACAGTACGGGTTCATTGGAAATTCAGGGTTAACAACAGTACGGGTTCATTGGAAATTAAGGGTTAACAACAGTACGGGTTCACTGAATATTCAGGGTTAACAGCAGTACGGGTTCACTAAATATTCAGGGTTAATAACAGTACGGGTTCATTGAATATTCAGGGTTAACAACAGTACGGGTTCATTGAATATTCAGGGTTATCAACAGTACGGGTTCATTGGAAATTCAGGGTTTACAACAGTACGGGTTCATTGGAAATTCAGGGTTAACAACAGTACGGGTTCATTGGAAATTCAGGGTAAACAACAGTACGGATTCATTGGAAATTCAGGGTTAACAACAGTACGGGTTCATTGGAAGTTCAGGGTTAACAACAGTACGGGTTCATTGGAAATTCTGGGTTAACAACAGTACGGGTTCATTGGAAGTTCAGGGTTAACAACAGTACGGGTTCATTGAATATTCAGGGTTAACAACAGTACGGGTTCATTGGAAATTCAGGGTTAACAACGGTACGGGTTCATTGGAAATTCAGGGTTTACAACAGTACGGGGTCATTGGAAATTCAGGGTTAACAACAGTACGGGGTCATTGGAAATTCAGGGTTAACAACAGTACGGGTTCATTGGAAATTCAGGGTTAACAACAGTACGGGTTCACTGGAAATTCAGGGTTAACAACAGTACGGATTCATTGGAAATTCAGGGTTTACAACAGTACGGGTTCATTGGAAATTCAGGGTTAACAACAGTACGGGTTCACTGAATATTCAGGGTTAACAACAGTACGGGTTCATTGAATATTCAGGGTTAACAACAGTACGGGTTCATTGGAAATTCAGGGTTAACAACAGTACGGGTTTACTGGAAATTCAGGGTTAACAACAGTACGGGTTCACTGGAAATTCAGGGTTAACAACAGTACGGGTTTACTGGAAATTCAGGGTTAACAACAGTACGGGTTCACTGGAAATTCAGGGTTAACAACAGTACGGGTTCACTGAATATTCAGGGTTAACAACAGTACGGGTTCATTGAATATTCAGGGTTAACAACAGAACGGGTTCATTGGAAATTCAGGGTTAACAACAGTACGGGTTTACTGGAAATTCAGGGTTTACAACAGTACGGGTTCAAAAGGAATCAAGGATAAACGGAACTACCACGTGTTAGGAACAACGCCACATTGATCCAATACCTATAACACAGGTAAAGGCTACCACCCGTCCTTATGTCGTTATACGCAAGTTGACTGAAATACAAAGTACATTTTAACAATAACATGTTGGCTCCGTAATTCAAATCTGACAATAGAAAGTATCTAAGTATATAGACTAAACCTTACTGTAGCTACAGTATCAGGTGATTAATTCCCGAAATAATATCAAGACAACAGTAACATTTCTCTACAGATCGTCTGTCTATAAGTATTGCTTCTGACTCCATTCCTTGAGCGGGTTTATAGCCAGCATTATACAACAAAAAAACCCAGAGCCCGCTTCAGCAAAGTCTAATAAACTTCACAAATCTTAAACGCAGAATTTCAAAGTATAACCTTTGAAAAATGCCTTTTACATGCATTTTTTGCAGTTCTCTGTATTTAGAATTTAGGTAAGTATAGTGTACATGGTGATACATACAATAAACTAACCAGCCTTTGGAGGTATGGGTCCAGAACACAGGAGTGACACGTTTAAACAGTTAGCACTACTTACATTAGGTCTATTACATCACAATGTCTCTGTACTGACTCTGTATGACCATGAAAAGATGCATGTAACGAAAAACCACAATTTGAGAAATGAATTCAGAAAAAAGAATTCAAATGTAATTTTATTTGCATGGCATGCAATAATCACACATATATAGTATCATACAAATGTAAACATTGTATAATAATATCATACAAATGTAAACATTGTATAATAATATCATACAAATGTAAACATTGTATAATAATATCATACAAATGTAAACATTGTATAATAATATCATACAAATGTAAACATTGTATAATAATATCATACAAATGTAAACATTGTATAATAATATCATACAAATGTAAACATTGTATAATAATATCATACAAATGTAAACATTGTATAATAATATCATACAAATGTAAACATTGTATAATAATATCATACAAATGTAAACATTGTATAATAATATCATACAAATGTAAACATTGTATAATAATATCATACAAATGTAAACATTGTATAATAATATCATACAAATGTAAACATTGTATAATAATATCATACAAATGTAAACATTGTATAATAATATCATACAAATGTAAACATTGTATAATAATATCATACAAATGTAAACATTGTATAATAATATCATACAAATGTAAACATTGTATAATAATATCATACAAATGTAAACATTGTATAATAATATCATACAAATGTAAACATTGTATAATAATATCATACAAATGTAAACATTGTATAATAATATCATACAAATGTAAACATTGTATAATAATATCATACAAATGTAAACATTGTATAATAATATCATACAAATGTAAACATTGTATAATAATATCATACAAATGTAAACATTGTATAATAATATCATACAAATGTAAACATTGTATAATAATATCATACAAATGTAAACATTGTATAATAATATCATACAAATGTAAACATTGTATAATAATATCATACAAATGTAAACATTATATAATAGGGTAATACAATCATAAACATCAAATAATGCCATTCAAATATAAACACATTATGTCGACTTGATGATGTTTATAATACTGAAATGTTTGTTAAGTCAGAACTAAGTCTCATTTAATAATGACAGGATTAATTGCGATAAAAATCTAGTTTCTTTTAGCACAGTTACAAAGTTCAGACCCCTGGTTCACGACAGAGTTTAAACGTCCCCCAACCACTCGTGCGAGTTAAAATACGTTCTAGGTGTAATATGTCTTAGTTTGCAAATATGTTTCCAGATTTTCTGTTAATATTTTGATTTTCTCATTTTTATACAGTGCCTGTCTATATGAAACCTTCCTCATGCGCGAGCATGGCTCCTATTCTCAAGCCAACTTTCATGTAACGTCCATCAATTTTATGACACTTTCAACAAGTCTGGTCTACATATGAAAAACAGCATTCGGCTATATGTGTCTCAAACATTTTTCCAAATCATTGACGTAATGCGAATGTACCTATCACCGGAACAGAAATTTGGACTTTAACAGGGAACCTCAATTTGAGCATAAGAACGTTTCATGAATACGGAGCCTGATAATCAATTCATCTATTCAACATCGACCTTATTTGAATTTTAAAAATATTACATTTTCGCAAAATTCACTACATCGCTACATTTGTGAAGAAAAGTTCCGGAACTCATTGTAAGATCACATGCACGGTGACTACACAACACAGCGTGGTAAATTCAATTCTATATCTATTCTATGTCAGTTTCGGTGGTTAATTGACTTATTTGTTATAATAAAATCTTTTTTTTAAATCAATAAAGTAAAGTCATATATTACATTTTTGTGTTGAGATTCAGAATAATTATAGCTGGTCAAAGAATAATTATAGCTGGTAAAAGAATAATTATAGCTGGTCAAAGAATAATTATAGCTTGTCAAAGAATAATTATAGCTGGTCAAAGAATAATTATAGCTAGTCAAAGAATAATTATAGCTGGTCAAAGAATAATAATAGCTTGTCAAGAATAATTATAGCTGGTCAAAGAATAATTATAGCTGGTCAAAGAATAATAATTGAAAATGACATCAATGGCCTTTCTATGAGAAAATGACCTATTTTGGTACAATTCGCAGATTCAGATTTAAAAACAAAAATGAAGTAGTATCGAAGGTTCTTAAAAAACCCATTTTCAAATTCTATTGAGGCTCAAATATATAAATTTAGTAGAGTAGGATTAAATGACATTGGAATTTCGAAAAGTATCAAGTACACAACAGATAAACATCAATTAATTATTTTGTAGAAACGCATAAACAGATAATGTTATCATGCTAAAATTAAAAAGTTATATCAAAGATGACCTTAGAAATGTGATAATTCCTGATTAGGGAAAATAAATACGCATGCGCTTTAAACACTCAGGATGACAAATATTAACCAGAAAACACCCGACATAAACCTATCCATGCTTAAAAATTGTTTTTCCGCGAGTCTTTGCCGTATTAATCACAGTTGTTAAACTAAAAACGTACATTATTTTATATGACGAAATACCAGTACGTTATTATACGCTTGAAACAGTAAACGGATGTTTGAAGAAAATGTAATTTCTGTGCGTGGAGAAGGGCCTAGGCCTTTTAGATGTTTTTGATATTTACCAGGGACGCCTCTTTGCAGTGTTAACGTTCTTAATCAAACAACGTTACCTTTTAGTTAATGAAGTGAGCCACATACGTGAATCAATCCGTAGCGAGTGGAGGTTAGACTAGATATTAACTTTACCTCATCTACTCCTGTTTTATTAGTAGTATCGCAATTAACTTTTAAATCTGATTTCACTGCTTCATTTAAGGTTCCCCGTACCATTGCCGATAACTGTAATGATTAATTGGAAACCTGTTTCCCGATCGATACGACTGGAGCTGTGATGATCATTTCTGAACAAGAAGCCCCGCCCCGCCCCCCCNCAGTCCCTCCGATCCTTATACGTGGTCACGTGGTTGAACGGTAGCACCCTGGCCTAGTCGAGTTCCAAAACGAAATAATACCCTTTCACCGATGGATACATGTAAACAGGGATTCAATAGGTTTCTCTCTGAAAACGAATGCCTGTAAAGAGGAATTTGGGGGTTGGAAATCCTAGCATATATAAACCCAGTAAAATAATGTCTTCACATACTGAAATAAGTTTGCTAAAGTGATTATCTTCATAAAATATTAAAATAAAATTAGATAATATCAGACATTTTGAGTTTTACATTCTATAAAAAAGAGTATTATAAAAAGTCTGTCGGGGAACTCGTCGCCCCAAAGTTGATTTTGTGAGAGAATTTGTAGGCGAAAAGGTTGATGAAGAGATGACGTTATGTACCAAAACTAAAGTGGAGTTGTCTATTTGATTTGCGTGCAATGGGACAGGGATCCTTAATGAAACGTTCCTTATTTCTTCGAAAATGCATATTTAAACATATCATTCATTACTTTCTAGTGCAAAACATTGCCAAAAACAGCTGCAACCAATCTATGTAATTACAGGATTAAATACAGTTGGTAAATAAACAACCAATCAAACTACGAAAACCACAACAGCACGTGCGACGACAATATTCTGGTTACCGTTGCCAACGCTACCGTTGGACCCCCTGGTTCGAATTAGTCCGGGGTTGCTGGAGTTGGAAGTGGTGGTACATGCCGACAAAGACCTGTCCTGTTTCTTGCGTGTCGTCATTACTGGTCTACCAAGTGGTCCTAAAATCACCATAGCAACATATCATCTGGCATGTAATTCAGCCGTAGGCTCTGACAGTTTTCAAAACAAGGAGTTGTAATACCACTCAAACATTCTACCGTAGGCGAGGTCATTAGCATGACTTCAGATCTATTGTCGAGTTCAATTTGAATGTGTAAGGTGTTATCACATCTTTTCCATGACTAAAATGTAACTATTCAATGAGAAGTGCATAGAAAACAAAAAGTGAATTGAATCAGAATTTTGTTAACCATTTGACTATTCCCAAAATATATGTTTTATTTACATTATAATTACATAATTACATTATACACTCTATATATACGTAAAAATTGTGACTAGCATAGTCTTCCCCTATTTTGAGGGTGTGATGGAGAAATCTCTTATTCGAGAGGCGATAGTTTGGTTTTCTTCTCCGTGACTCTGTGGACAAGGCGGAGGAAGATCATATTAGTCCACTACGTTTAAAACGATAGTTATATCCCGATTAACATATGACCCCTCAAGTCGAGAGCAGATTGTGACGTTATATGATATCTTATTGTTCCTATGACGTCATGGTATGTTTTCTCTTCACGTCATAACTGTCCTACCCTAGGGGTGACAGAGAAATCATACCATATATGGTGACAAAAGAATCATAAACAGGTAAAACAGGAGATCATTCTGTGAACGATGGGAGAAAAAATATTAATTTAAATGAAACAGAAACACATAACCCAATTTGTGTCAGTTATTAAATCAAAACAAGTTCAAACACATTAGTAAATATAACAACACATTATGCTTCAGCCATATTATGATCCAGATTCGTAAATAACTTGTAAATAGTTATATTTCTTTTCAAAATATATTTTCATAATTGACTGCAGCTGTTACATAATGTAAAATATGTATCTTTATTTGTACATACACACATACAAAACATATCAAAGTTATACAGTGTGCAAAAATCATTATGCATATGTGCAAGGAAGTAAAACTATTTAGGTGAGATGAAAAATCAAATACGGCATATATTACTAAATTTGGTCAGTTTTTGAGAATGTGAACAAAATATTCAACCGGTTTATGTATTTTTTACCTCATCTTTTTCAATCTTATTGTTATCATAGGAAAATACAAACCAAAGTTATAATGATATTGTAATTGAAAAAAAACCTGTCCCTTCAACTCGTAAAGATCAAATACGGAATCGCCAATGGTAACATACAGACAAAATGGTAATTACACAAAAGTTTATAAGTTGTCATCAATAGAAGAGAAATATCCTTTATCAAGTTATATCAAGTTATATCAAGTTATATCAAGTTTTATCAAGTTATATCAAAGTACCCTGACTTTTATTCCCGTACGGCGCAGTGGTAAGACTAAAACAGTGAAAGAATTGTTATTTACGGTACGAGATATCCGTTCAACATCTCAAAATTAAATAAATAAATAAATAAAAAAAAAAATATATATATAAATAAACAACAACAAAAAACAAAGAATCAACGTCAGCTAAAAACTACAGTGTTATATATGAAATGATTTTTTTTGTGCTTTCACAATAATTGGGGAAATGTGCTTGTTGAATCAATTGTGAGCAGTCTAGTAAAGTACATGTAACATGGCAATGAACATCGATCGTATTAGCTTTACAATTCATTAAGTTCAATTTTTTTAAGATTTGATTCTATTTTTTTGTATGTATTGGCCATTGTCTGTGTATATGAATTGAGATAAAATCTCCGGGATTTTGTATTTCATATTCATTTTTAATATCTCTAACATGTGACTATTGGTTAGCGCACCTGAGGTTTCATTCAGCTTAGTATTTTGATCTATATCACTGTACCGTATGCATCAAACAGAAAGTAATTGCACGTTTAGCATAAGCTTATATATCGCTTGATGTGAAACTAAAAAGATGAAGGTGCTTGTTGATTATCGTCTCAATGAAAATATTTTTGAAACAAATGAGAAAACATGCATTTACATCGTGTTTGATTGAAATGATGAATCACTCTTTGCAAATCGCCAAAAAATCTCTTGCCATTCAGAGTCTATCTGTGAATTGTTATGTTAACAACACTTATGAAAAGGCAGGAATTGAACTGCACAAACCGGTTATCCTATTTACGAGCGGTATGAGTACACCACTTAGTGTGTATGAGATAATGGTGGTCATCTAGTTTCTTAACCTGAGCGAAATACACTTTTTGAAGACGGTTGCTGTTTTCTGAGGAGGATAAAATTACAAATCAGTAGATTTGTCTTTGTTAGTTAAATTTAATATCCTATTAGCAGCTAAGGTCATTTAAGGACGTTGTATGAAACAAAATTAACTGTATTCAAAACACTCATTCCATTTCCAAATATAAAACTATTAACCTCACGCATAGCCATGGGCTTTCTTTTAAATTTGAATCATTATTGTTTTCTTTGATGTCCTATAAGACCATTCCAGCGTTTGTCTCTGGACTATAAGACCATTCCAGCGTTTGTCCCTGGACTATAAGACCATTCCAGCGTTTGTCCCTGGACTATAAGACCATTCCAGCGTTTGTCCCTGGACTATAAGACCATTCCAGCGTTTGTCCCTGGACTATAAGACCATTCCAGCGTTTGTCCCTGGACTATAAGACCATTCCAGCGTTTGTCCCTGGACTATAAGACCATTCCAGCGTTTGTCCCTGGACTATAAGACCATTCCAGCGTTTGTCCCTGGACTATAAGACCATTCCAGCGTTTGTCCCTGGACTATAAGACCATTCCAGCGTTTGTCCCTGGACTATAAGACCATTCCAGCGTTTGTCCCTGGACTATAAGACCATTCCAGCGTTTGTCCCTGGACTATAAGACCATTCCAGCGTTTGTCCCTGGACTATAAGACCATTCCAGCGTTTGTCCCTGGACTATAAGACCATTCCAGCGTTTGTCCCTGGACTATAAGACCATTCCAGCGTTTGTCCCTGGACTATAAGACCATTCCAGCGTTTGTCCCTGGACTATAAGACCATTCCAGCGTTTGTCCCTGGACTATAAGACCATTCCAGCGTTTGTCCCTGGACTATAAGACCATTCCAGCGTTTGTCCCTGGACTATAAGACCATTCCAGCGTTTGTCTCTGGACTATAAGACCATTCAAGCGTTTGTCCCTGGACTATAAGACCATTCCAGCGTTTGTCTCTGGACTATAGGACCACTCTTGCGTTTGTCCCTTGACTATGAGACCATTCCAGCGTTTGTCCCTGGACTATAAGACCATTCCAGCGTTTGACCCTTGACTATAAGACCATTCATGCGTTTATCCCTGGACTATAACACCATTCCAGCGTTTGTCTCTGGACTATAGGACCACTCTAGCGTTTGTCCCTTGACTATGAGACCATTCCACCGTTTGTCCCTGGACTATAAGACCATTCATGCGTTTGTCTCTGGACTATAAGACCATTCAAGCGTTTGTCGCTGGACTATAAGACCATTCCAGCGTTTGTCTCTGTACTATAAGACCATTCCAGCGTTTGTCTCTTGACTATAAGACCATTCCAGCGTTTGTCTCTGGACTATAAGATCATTCCAGCGTTTGTCCCTGGACTATAAGATAATTCCAGCGTTTGTCCCTGGACTATAAGACCATTCAAGCGTTTGTCTCTGGACTATAAGACCATTCCAGCGTTTGTCCCTGGACTATAAGACCATTCCAGCGTTTGTCGCTGGAATATAAGATCATTCCAGCGTTTGTCCCTGGACTATAAGACCATTCCAGCGTTTATCCCTGGACTATAAGATCATTCCAGCGTTTGTCTCTGGACAATAAGACCATTACAGCGTGTGTCCCTGGACTATAAGACCATTCCAGCGTTTGTGCCTGGACTATAAGATCATTCCAGCGTTTGTACCTGGACTATAGGACCATTCCAGCGTTTGTCCCTGGACTATAAGATCATTCCGGCGTTTGTCCCTGGACTATAAGACCATTCCAGCGTTTATCCCTGGACTATAAGATCATTCCAGCGTTTGTCCCTGGACAATAAGACCATTCCAGCGTGTGTCCCTGGAATATAAGACCATTCCAGCGTTTGTCTCTGGACTATATAAGACCATTCCAGCGTTTGTCCCTGGACTATAAGACCATTCAAGCGTTTGTCTCTGGACTATAAGATCATTCCAGCGTTTGTCCCTGGACTGTAAGACCATTCCAGCGTTTGTCTCTGGACTATAAGATCATTCCAGCGTTTGTCCCTGGACTATAAGACCATTCCAGCGTTTGTCTCTGGACAATAAGATCATTCCAGCGTTTGTCTCTGGACTATAAGATCATTCCAGCGTTTGTCTCTGGACAATAAGACCATTCCAGCGTGTGTCCCTGGACTATAAGACCATTCCAGCGTTTGTCTCTGGACTATAAGAGCATTCCAGCGTTTGTCCCTGGACTAGAACAACTCCGATTATTATTAAAGCGACATGATTTCATACTACTAACCAGAGCTGCGGTTAAATTTGCAGAGCAGTACAATAATTTCCTCTCCTGTTCAAGTGTGCTGGTTGAAAGCAATAACACCCCAAATACTAAGTAAATATAGGTATACAAATTAGCAAACAGATCAGGTTATATCTACACCGTAACTATGGTTTCTTTTCTGTTTACGCACATGAATTTAGGTTCCGTTGAATCAAAGCATAAGTTATGCATTGAAAGTGTTTAACAATTCGTGTCTTCACGAAATGTATTTTGTTTTCGTTTGCGTTGAAAAATTTGATCCACTTTTCGTTCAATAGTTTATTTACCAAAGTTATTAGTTTAAAAAAACAGCATTTCTCTTTTCAGTATGACGGGTTTCGTATTTTCATAGTTGCTAATTATATATCGAAACTAGTAACAGCAAAATAGGCAATTGCAGAGCATGTCTAAATTCAGATCACAGCAGACAGCAGGAGTATGACAAATGTGTACACTAGGCCGTTGGTATAGTAAACGATATTTCAGCGTTGACACAGTCAGCATTACATGCCTTTTGGCTTCGACTCAAGGTTCCTGCCTAAAACCAGAATAACTAACGATAAAACGCCCTACAGAATCCGCCTCCATATACTCTCTTATAATAGTTATGCAGATACTAATCAATTGTAGTGAGGCTGCAAAATATGAGTAAGTGTTATAAAACATGCCGTAAGCAAAGGGGAATTGTACGATAATCTCTGCGAAACTCGAAATGCAGTAAAATGCAGAAAGTGGATTTTTGTTGTTCTGTTTCATTTCTCTTTCAAATTATTCTTGTTTTGTTATTTATCTGTTGTTATTTTTAAATTTCCATTAAAAACTAAGGATTTCGTAAAAAAAATCAATCTCGTAGAATCCGCCCTGTACTTATATAGCGCTGTTAGTATTAGTACACATACCAATGGCCAGTGTATATTGGGGCTTCTTACACAGTATGTCCCAGTAGCCCTTCCGGAACTCCGGGAAGCGCCAGGCGTAGATAATCGGGTTACATGCACTGTTCATATAACCGAAGCTGTATGCCTGTAACGACAGAAACATTGTTTAATTATTTAAAACATTATTATTATTATAATATTTTACAAAACTAATCATAAAATATTTATATAATATGTAACAAAACAAAACTTTAATCAATAATAAAACCGACCATTATATATACATAATAGCTATATAAATGTACTAAGAGAAAACACCTGTTATAGTGTTTGCTTGGTTCATAATATTATACCTACAGTTTTATTGTAAAATATATATAAATAAACATCAATTCTACAATACTGACACTCGAACCAGCGTTAATCATGCTATCATAAGAACTTGGTTTTGAAACTAGGTCAAAAAAGGTTTTTTATTATGAATAAATATCATGCACAGACAAAAATTGTCATACTGACTATCGGAAACAATTTATCATCTGTATGGACACAATCTGAACGACTCATACACATTGATCGATATAAATAGATTCAGTTTTTCCATCACAACATGTAAAACGAATTCTTCATGATTCAAACAGAAACATATGCCTTAAACAAAAAACACTCTAAAAGATGAAGCAATGCTAACACTCCAAGGCATAAGAAAGTCAGGGGGG